GAGAGAGAGAGGGAGAGAGAGAGAGAGAGAGAGAGAGAGAGAGAAAGAGAGAGGAGGGGGAAGGGAAGGAGAGCGGCACCGGTGTGCATTCGCGAGTATCAGGCCGCGTGTAAGTTCAGTAAACATCATTACGCCGCGACTCTGTAACGAATGTGAGGCCGCGGGGTTTGTTAATTAAGAAGATACGTCAGCCCGCCATGTTGTTTAATGCAATCTGCTCCCCGGGAAACCCTCGACAAACAGACCTCCTCTCTCTCTCTCTCTCTCTCTCTCTCTCTCTCTCCTGCGCAACTTGGATCGCGAGACGTGCACTTAGTCGCGCCCGCAAGAATGTGATCTGCGCGCGAAACTGAAAGGAATTTATTATCTGTCCAATTAGGACGGATAATTATGCAGAATGTCCACCGCCGCGTCGGCGCGAGCTTGTTAGTCGTATAATTCTCGCGAGCACGCCACGCGCGCGCGCGCGCGCGCGAGCGTTGAACTATCGCACAGATCAGACCCGCGTCGTCGTCCTGCTCTCGCCTCTTCGAATCTCGCCTTCGCGAAATTACGCGCGGCCGCCGTAATTGTCGCGAATTCTTCTCTCTCCTCTCCCGCCACGTCGAGCTCGCCCGTCGCCGGAGAGATTGCGCTTTGATCAAACTTCACTCTCGATTGAACAGGCATTATCGTTCGCGTACGCGTGCACCGCTCTCCTTCTCCCCCCCCCCTCTCTCTCTCTCTCTCTCTCTCTCTCTCTCTCTCTCTCTCTCTCGGTGCTTATCAGTGTTAAACGTACACGAATCCGACAATTGTAGCTCTCGCTGCGAGAAATTCATCGACGCCAGACAATCAATTATTCTTCATCGGAATAATCTCTCTGGAACGAGCCCGCGCGCGCGCGCGGGAACGCAACACGTCCAGCAGAAAATATCACCTCGACCCGAAACTCGTTATGCGCGCAACTTCGTTATATCGCGAGGCTCCTATATCATCCCTCCGTCATGTCGCGTGCTATCACGTTAGATGCCTCGGTCGGTGGCAATTGCACGGACTCGCCGGACCCGCTTGAGCTGAGGGCGGGCGCACGAGAGAGAGAGAGAGAGAAAGAGAGAGGGAAGGAGGGAGGGAGGGAGGGAGAGGGGTCGATACGGGTTATAAATGAGAGCCCGTAGCGGCGACCGATCGCCGGCGGTACACGTTTCGGCGCGGCGTCAGCACCGCGTTCGCGACGTGACGAATAGCGCGTATCCATCGCGACGCGTTCCATCCGCGAGACAGTGCTGCGGCATCGCGACGCTGTCACACGCATGTCGCGTCGTCCTTACGTATAATTATTCGCGCGCGACTGCGTCTCCGGGAAGGCTGGAGCGCGCGGCAGATTAGATTCTGTCTATCAATTTCAAGCGGCGATGTAAACCGCGCGCGCGCTTATCCCCGCGGGTTACCGGGGCGGTTCCATCGGTATTAACCAACAATATCCCCGGCTTGGTCCGTGGCGTCATCAGGAGCCTTATTTGTCATCCGTGTTGCGTGGCCGATGTGCTAATTTTCATCTATCATTTAGCGCGCCTAATTCGATCACGGCCTTTCATCTCGCGCTTAATCCGCTCGGCGCTCCGCGCGCTTTTCAACCGCCGCGCAATGCACTCTGATCGCCGTGCACTTGTGATGAATAATGATATCAATACGTGACTCGACAGTTTTGCATACATCAGCGCGACGTTGGCTTAAACGTAAATTAATGCCGATTTTAACGAGCTGTGTAGAAAACGGATTATCTGCCTCTCTCTCTCTCTCTCTCTCTCTCCTTCCCTCCCTCCCTCCCTCCTCCCCTCCCCCTCTCTATCTTCCCGCGTTCTCGCGTAAGTGCGTGAAAAATTCGCACGCACCTCGCGCATGGATCCGACCGCGTCTGCGTGGCGAGCAGAGTCGGATAGAAGACGCAATTTATAAAATCCGTCTTATAAAAATGAGCGAATACGCGAGCTTATCCGGGCAGCCGCGCTCGACAAAGCGAGAGGTGTTGTTACGCGTTAAAAGGGGAATTACATGCGGAGCAGGCCGTTTTCAAGGCTATTTTTACGAATTTTTTTAACAGAAACGGTAGGGTCAATGGACTTGAAATTTTCACAGTTTATTCATTAATGTTCAAAGTGTAAAATAAATTTTATTGAATCACAAGAATCGATCCAATTTGTAATTATAGATCAAAATGCAGCGATCCGTTTGTGAGCTCTATATTTACTGTCGACATAATTCCGGGCTTCCAACTCCTCCGAAACCGAAAAATGAGAAAGATTTTTAAAATATACGTTTGCCATTATAGCCCGTAGCAAAATGAAGGCAGTGAAGTCGAAAAATGACTGTACAAAAAGAAAGTATCGAAAATGAAACTTTTTTTCAACTTGTAATCTTGCAACTTGCAAATATTTAAAAAGAATGAATGAAATAAAATATAATTGTATTCGAGATAGGAGTGAAAAAATTACATATCTACTGTATAATGTGTAAAAATTTCAAGTTATTCGGTTCAGTAGTTTTTGCGTCATCGTGTCGACAGTTTAAGAAAATGGTGTTCCCAGATAAACGCGTTTAAATTTTTATGTGTACTTTCCACATAAATAGTAACACATTTCTTTTATACTTTGAACATTAATGAATACACTGTGAAAACTTCAAGTCCATTGACTCTACCGTTTCTGCCAAAGAAATTCGCAAAAATAGCCTCAGGCACGGCCTGCTCCGCATATAATTCTCCCCTTAAACGCGGCGACTAGAAAGACCGCCGCTCGATGCGAGGTCAATCGCTTCGGACGAGGAGCCATTTCGGTCGGTTGCACGCACGCACGCACGCACGCACGCACGCACGCACGCACGCACATGCGGCTCGCGGCGTCGTGCATGTGCCGCGTGCATTGTTACGTGCGATTATTCACGAAGGCGCATTCAGACCGGAGAACAGGCGGACCGGATCTCGTATGTTAGGTCTGACTGCTTGTCCCGGCTCCGGCAAACCGAGGGCGAGATTACGCCTTCCTCCGCCCGCCTCCGCCGCGCGTTGCTTACTGTCGGAAACACGAGGCTTCCCGCGAAGATGTCACCGGCCGGATATCCCCGCCGGCGCGGCGCGGCGGTCCGCACCGAAAAGCGCTTCCGCCGGAGAGGGTAGAAGCGCGCGTTCGAAAGTTGCCGAGGAGCGCGTCGCGCCCGCGGCTCATCCGGAAATCACGCAGCGTCATACTTTCGTACAAATATGTCTCCTGGCCGCCTCGGCAGGGGCGGCGGCGGGGGGGGGGGAGTGTCTGTCAGTGTCCGGTATCGCCAAGCAGGGTCCACGTATCGAATGGGATAATCCACGTGATGTTATATATCATCAGTTTGCGCGAATATCCCAACGCATTGCACGCGAAGTAATAATACTTCTCCATCGACAAAGAGAGAGAGAGAGAGAGAGAGAGAGAGAGAGAGAGAGAGAGAGAGAGGGGGGGGAAAGGGGAGAGAGATTAATCAAGCGCGTGATATTTCTCCATCTTCATAAATCTCCAAGGAAGAATCGATTATCATCGAGCGACCGATAAATCAAGCGGCACTGTATCCACTCTCGTTATTACGCTCTCGTTTCCGCGCTTCCAGTCGACGAGCGGCGGAGAGCTCATTTCGCTTTTCGACTTATTAATAGCGCACCTGACATCCGTCAGCCGCGTCCGTTCTCCGCGGACTTTCCGTATAAAAAGACAAGGCTCGATATAAAGTAAATGTCTCAATAATCGGACGTTTAAGCGTAGGTCGTCGCAACAAATATATAATATTAAGAATAGTTTTGATATTAATATTTGCATTTATTCGAAAACTTAAGATTCCCTTAAGTAGAGAAAAATGATTTAAACCAATATATATATATATATATATATATTGTTAACGAAACATTTATGCAAGTAATAAAGCTCATTGATGTGATCGGATAGTTGAAATAGGTTATAGTCCAATGTTTGGATATATCATATCATATATATCATAATATATTTGTTGACAGTGTCTGACCGCAATTAGAAAATTAGTATGTGCTAACGGGAAATAATATAAATATAGATGCTATCTCTTAATGAATTTACTAACGATTGACCATTATTTTGCCAAACCATAAGTGCATGTTTATTTGATTAATTTTGATTTTAACACAACAGTATCAAATTGGGTATATTTTTTTCCTAAGCTAATCGTCAAATATTGGAGTTTCTTTTTTACAATAATTATTACTTTCATTCATTATTGTTAAAATAAATAGTAAATATTCTTTTCAAGGTTGGATACTGGGACGTTTACCTCTGTCTTCGCTGTATTCGAGACAAAGTGCGTCGCGCGTACGCGTGCTAGCATTAAGATTACCGTTTGCGCCGGACCAACGCTATTTCCTCGGCCGGATCGAATCCTGCGGGAATGACGCTCACACGCATACACGCATGTGGACGCACGTGGATGCAGCAGGTGCGCGCGACGGCTTACGTAGGGACTCTCGCATTTATTACGTCGCGGCGGAAGCTCCGGGTTCTCGAACTAGAAACTCTCCCCGGGCTTGCGGGAGAGCTCGAAGCGCGGGTCGTAAAGAATCCGGGCGCACTCCCGCTCGCGGTTACCGCGGATCGACCTCGACACAGATTCCAGCGCGCGTTATCGCGTCGAGAGAGAGAGAGAGAGAGAGAGAGAGAGAGAGGCGGAACCGCGGAGACGCGAATCTTGCCGCGGCGAAAGCGGCCGTTCGGCTCGCCGCGTCGCGTACATTTTGTGGCTCCGTGTTTTCGTTTCCGCCGCTAATTCTTCGCCGTCGCGAGGCAAATTCGGTCGATTAATGTCCGATGGGGGGCGGAGGTGGGAGGAAGAGGGGGGGACGCGGTCGATCGACCGCGGGCGCGGCTTCATCGGCTTCATGTCGAATATATCGTCTTCGCTCGGATATTTCATCTCGGCCCCGGCGACTTTGCCCCGGCTTAACGGCAGCCGCTGCTTTCTCTTTTCAG